ACAAAAATAATACCCCAATATTGCTCCACAAATGCCAATATTGACCAACAACTGTTATAATGCTAAAGCACGACAAAATTCTGCATACAATGTTGCAAACAAATTTAGAAAAACCTGTAAGCAGTAAGCACGCTCAAAGGTAAGAACCTGTAATACAAGGGTGGAAAACATTAAATTTTTTCAGCAAGCTAGAGATTCCATTAACAAAAATGTTGGAGCGTTGCTAGAGCAGATTCTTACTAGTCTCTACATCCAAATTCCATTATTGTTGATAACCCACAGTAACCATTACTAGGCCCTCACTAGTCTCTACCTCCATTTTAACCCACATGTCACTAGATATGTTATGCATTTACATCTATACACAAGAGAATCATTTACTACTATGTCACACGCAAGGCAAAGAACAGAATCAGAACATAAGAAAAAATAATAATGTAGAAAACAATTAAGGAGCCCAAAAGAATCAATGGTGCGATTGATACAGAATAAAGCACTTAAAAATTAATACGAATCAAAGCCCAACTTAAAAATTGATTCTACTCCAAACCTAGCAAAAGCTAGATCCAATGCATGCATGTGTATATGTCATTAGATTAGAATCAAATATACAGACAATACACCACTCAACAGCAGAGCAAAGGTAAAAGATTCTTTTGTCAAAGAAATTGTACCTGTTTAAAACAATTAAAACTCGGTAAGCCTAATAAATTCAGATAAATACGATCAAGGAAATAAGTAACAAACAAATAAAAGCAAAAACTCGTACAGTATCAGATCAAAGCAAAACCAAAAGGGAACAACTAATTAAAAAATAAATAAATAACAATTGGATTAGCCAAGAAAAAATAAATTTTCAAAAAGCAAATAAAAGATCTTGTGCTAGGGTTAGATGCCACGTGATCTGTGAGTCACTTGAGCTACTGGACATAAAAAGTGAAAGTTGACGTACCTAAGCAAGGTGATGATTAGAGCAATCACCAGTGATCGGAGTGTACAAACAAAAGTCGCCGGAAAATCGGCGCCGATACATACAGATATAAACAAAAAATATTTATCTATGTATGTGTATATACGTAGAGAGAGGGAACGGCAAAATTTAGAGAGAGATTGGAAGATGGGAGAGCGATAAGATGGAGGGGGAAATATATAAACATAGGCAGGCGGCAGTAAACCCTTTATTGCGTCATCAGCATGTGTTATAAATAATTTATTTATTTTCCTAAATATAAATTTTAGGGATTTTTTCACAAATTTCTAACCTATGTGCGATTTCCGTCCCTGTTTTTTACTTTTGAGCTAATGAGTCTAATGTCCTCGGCCACTGATATGGTGTGCAGGCTGTTAACCTTTCACGGTTTTTCATTTTTGTACTTTTTAAAAATTCAATTTTTTCTTTTTTTGTTTGATAAAAAATGACTACAATCCCTTACATTTAGATGAATACAATATAAAACATAGAAAGGACGACAAAAAGTAAAAGAATTAACCCCCAAACCAATCCTCGAATCGAGGGTTAAAAATCAAAACGACAATTGAACTTTGCACAAATTTTTTCTTTGGCCGTTGAAGTTAATTTTTTTTGGAATAGTATCGAACTTATTAAATCATTATCTCATTAATCATTAATTTTTTTAAAATGTTGGTCCCTGAACGTATGAATTGTTATTACATTTATCACTCAATAATTTATAGTTAGAAAATTCAACGAATTTGACGAACTATTATCCTTCGTTAATTATAATTCAACTTCAAAAAAAGCTCTTTCATCTATTTAAAAGCGCTAACAAAAATATGTGATATGTCTAAAATTATTAAGCCAGTCTAGTCAATCTTCATAACTCGGCATCAATCTCAACCTCTTGGTTTTGGGCGAGAATGTGATAGGTGAAGAAGATGAAGCTTTTATTTTATTTATTATTTTATGTGTGAAAAATGTAAATTTACCACTTTGTCATTTTAAAATTAATCAAAATATGGTCAGATAATTGATTTTTGGTCAACTAAGGAACATTGAGGAAACCGTCCTCATGTCCCTCGGTCACACACACGTTTGAGACATGAGTGAAATAAATAAAAATAGGATAAAAGATTTTGAATTGCGACTATAATTATTCCTCAAACAAATTTTGGGAAGTCTTTTCAAATATTTACCAATACAACCAAAGCAAACACAATGTGGGCGTGCGATTACAATTATCCGCTAAATATACTCAAAACCACAATTTCTAATAATGAAGCTACATTTTAATTGCATGAAACGTTTATAATCTTTATACGTTATTATATTTATGCGTAAAAACTTTTTTTCATCACATTTTTATTTTCAAATGACATAAATTGTTCCATATTATAGTTTATTTCTTTTTTTTTTAATAGAGTAAAATGACTCATTTATTCATTGTATTTTTAAACAAGCAAAATAAATAATATTGCAAAAATGTGATTAAATATTTGATCATCATTTAAAATACGTTAACAATATTTTTGGACAAAAATCATGATTAGGGACAAAACTTTTCGATTAATGAAATGTTAGAAATAAGAATATTACGAAGAAAAAATTAAGAATATGAGTGTGATGATACACGAGAGTGAATAATTAATATAATTAAAATATATAATGTATCTTTCTATATATAAAAGTGCCTATTTAACGGAATTTGTTGGTTTAACGGAAAGACTAACGGAATTTGTTATTTTAACGGACTATGCAACGGAATTTCTTGTTTTAAACAGGCAGCTGCACCTTCTTTCAGTATTTTTATCATAACTTTATATTTCGATGTCTGATTGAGGCGATTCAAAATGCGTTGGAAAGCTAACTCATCTGGCTACAACTTTGATTCAGACATCATTCTCCAATTCGATCACTTTCTATGCCAAAAATAGATCTCAATATGAGACTAAA